CTATATTGCCCTTGGTAGAGTGCTGTGACGTCACAGCTCACAGAAACCGCAAACTCTTGGGCTCAGGTGATCCTCTTGCCTCAGCTTCCCAAGGAGCTGGGACTATAGGCGCCCACCACAACACCCAGCTGTTTTTGTTGTTGTAGTTATCATTGTCGTTAGCTGGCCTGGGTCGGGTTCGAACTCGCCAGCCTTGGTATGTATGGCTAGCGCTGTAACTGCTATGCTACAGGCGCTGAGCCATAATTTGTATTCTTCCTTTTGAAAAACTCCTATATCTGAATTCATGTTTCTTAAAAGTATGTCTAGAGTTTTTCCAAACCCATTTCTGAGTTCAGAGAAGATAATACGGAATATTCTATACTTTAGAGTTATGACTAGCAAAATATAAATTTGTTTAAAGAAAGTCTATGCTTTTGTTGTTCTCTCTGGTCTCATTAAATAATTTACCTTTTCTTTGGCCGGGTGTGGTGGCTCATGCCTGTAATCCTAGAACTATGGGAGGCTGAGGCAGGTGGATTGCTGATCACAAGTTCAGGACCAGCCTGAGCAAAAGTAAGACCCCGTCTCTATTAAAAATAGAAAAACTTAGGAAAGAGGGTCACTTGAGCCCAGGAGTTGGAGGTTGCTGTGAGCTGTGATGCCATGGCACTCTACCCAGAGTGACAGCTTGAGACTCTGCCTCAAAAAAAATAATAATTCACCTTTTTTCACTTTTCTATCATCTAGAGAAGGTGTTGGCAAACTTTTTCTTAAAGTTCCAGGTTCCAGGGAGTAAATATATTAGGCTTGAGGCCATACTGTCTCTGTCACAACTATTTAACTCTGTTGGTGTAGTACAAAAACATCTGTAAACAATACATAAATGGGCTCGGCGCCTGTGGCTCAAGTGGCTAAGGCACCAGCCACGTACACCCAAGGTGGTGGGTTCGAATCCAGCCTGGGCCAGCCAAACAACAATGACGGCTGCAACCAAAAAATAGCCGGGCGTTGTGGTGGGTGCCTGTGGTCCCAGGTACTTGGGAGGCAGAGGCAGGAGACTCGCTTGAGCCCAGGAGTTGGAGGTTGCTGTGAGCTGAGATGGCACGGCACTCTACCCAGGGAGA